AAATTTGTCACCTTTCTTGTTGGTATCAAAATTTCTCAGGTTGTGGTAGATTCTGCTACTGTTTTTGTTCCCATCGGCCAGCTTCTGCCAACTGGAACATGCATATTAGCAGAAGGTGTTCTACAAACACCTTTAAAAACACATTTTGGAAAGGAAGAACAAGCTATTGAGCTTACTGTAGAGCAAATTCTTCATGTCGGGACTGTAGAGCAGGACAAGTATCCGTTGTCTCAAAAACGATTACCACTCGATAGTTTGAGGGGTTGGTCCCATTTTCGACCTCGGACAACGACAGTAATTTCTGAATCCTTTGATATCTTATACGTTATAACCTTTTCTGCTTTGGTATTATATAATAGGTGGTGACTTAATATTTTAGTCTTTAGATGTCTTGTCTTTTGGTTTTGACCATGTGAAACCGTGCAGAATTTTTTAGGGCTGCTTATATAATTGAAGAAAAGTTTAATCACATTAAGCAATTTAGTGGAAACAATTTAATTACTCTGATTTTACTGCATCATATGTTTCAAACAGCTACTGGATCTACTTGTCTGAAACAACATTTCTGAACAATCTAATGTGTTATGGGCAATATGGTTAAGTAACAATAGATCCTGGAGATGATCTTAGGAATTTATTAGCTTTATTATTTTTGTTCCTTGAAACTCATATAACTTCCTTGTTGCTGCTACTGTAATTTCATATAGCTGCTCTCATCTCATCTAAAACTTAATCAATGTGTAGTTGAACCTAATATACTCTTTAATTGAAATGTTATACATTGCAGGTGGCATCAATTACCCGAATACGTAGTGCCTTGACTTTTGCAACCCATACATTCTTCCAGAACCAAGGGTTTTTGCATGTGGAAGCACCCATTATCACAATCACAGACTGTGAAGGATTTAGTGACAAGTTCCAGGTTACAACCCTTTTGCAAAGGACAATCACGGAGGAGCCTATTGCTCTTAATGAAACTCAAGGTATTAGCCTTGAAACTGTTAAGGTAGCTATTAATGAGAAAACTAATCTTGTTGAACAACTCAAGAGAAGTGAAAGCAATCGGGAAGCATTGGCTGCTGCAGTTAAGGATCTAAAGAAAACAAATGAACTTGCTCAACAGCTAGAAGCAAGAGAAAAGTCAAAACCAGGAACTGCAGAAAAGGGTTATATAGTTAACTTCAATGAAGATTTCTTCAGACGTCAAACTTATTTGTCTGTTTCTGGTCGCCTTCATTTGGAGAGCTATGCATGTTCCCTTGGACATGTTTACTCATTTGGACCCAGATTTCGTGCTGATAAAGAGTTTTCTTCAAAGCATGTAGCAGAGATGTGGTTTGTTGAGATTGAAATGGCTTTTTCACAATTAGAGGTAAGACCTTAGGTTTCCAGTCTCTCTGGTATTTTGTGGTTTTCATATTGGATGACACAAATATCCAGCTCCATTGTCATTTAGCAGTTACCCTAATTCTTAGGCTCTTTATCTCTCTGTATTTCTAGCATGCCCTGGTATCTCTTCTACACCATACATTGAAATTGTTCAGTTTTTCTGAAGATCAGCCAGTTATTCCTATCCTTTGACTAACTTTGATCATTAGGGTGAAGGAGGTATACCAGAGGAAAAGTCATTAGCCAAAACATGTTCTTGACTTCTTGTAGATGTAATTAGCTAAGGTGGCTTTAATGTTTTAATAATCTACCTTTAGCATTTAAAGATAACCATAATTTTATTGGATGTAGTTTTATATTTC